TGATGTGCCCTGATCGTAATCGGCATGGCAAAAAGGACTCTTGTTCAATCAATTGCCCTCCAAGAAAGCTAAATCTGATTTCAAGAGTGCATGGATTCCTGATAAAGACTGTTTGCGGCTGTTGCGGCTTGGGAGGAGCTTTTTTGCAATTGGTTTGTTCCATTGCTAATGCTGTTCACAGTCGTCATGGCAAGAGCCTTCTATTCTGCCAAGTGTAAAAGAAGCTTCTGCTACTGTATAGCTTGACAGTAATTTACTAGTCTCCACAGGAGGCGTTAATGGGAACCAGAAAAATGCCTCCACCAGGGCCGAACTCGCATCGAAATTTCCTATAAAACTAAATAGACTATATTGATGTCATCCTGTTCCTCTCATGGACATGCCAGTAAAAGTTGCTTAAGAGGTTGTGAGCCATTAATTTATCAATTTCAGTGCGTGGGAATCGTACTACAAAGTGGGCGGTCTCCGACAGCTGCTTTCAGTTATCCCATAATTAAAGGGCGTGTGTTCTTACGTTATCAACGAGTTGGTATGGTAACACACACACACTACTGGTTATGACTTGTCGATCTCATTTGTTCGCCTTTCGTATTTGCTCGGCCTTGAAGTACTTAGGCTGTTGTTTTGAACAGAATCTCACATGCCATTACCAAAGTTTTACAATGATTGTAAACGCAAAACTACTTTTGTATTGGGTGTGCGGAAAGTGCCTGAGCAATCGAAGAGGTTTTGTCGTTGGGTCGCTTAACGTTCAATCTGCTTCTCTCTTGAGGTCTGTCCTCTGATGTCCTCTATTTACGCACGTATTTACATTTATGTAATTTGATGTAATATTCAGTGAGAGCTAATACGTAAATTCAATTGACTATTTATTTAATTGCCAGAAAAGCTACTATAAACTCACAACAGCAACTCTTGTCTCCCAAGAAATCCCCGTTTTAGGGCACGCCGTGCCTCGGGCGATCCAGCAGGGGACGCGCAGTCTTCTGGAAGAAGGAAGGATCATACTAGGCGATTGACTTTTTTGGTTACTGATTTTTCCCAAATCACGCGCGCTGTACAGTCTTTTTCGCTGTGGATACGGGAGCGTGTCAGGGAGTTGGGTTCGGCCTAGACCGTCAGCTCGTTTTCCACCAGCGTCGCTTACTCATTTCAACAAACCGTCAGAGAAACAAATTACGCTGCGCAGGACCAGCCCCCTGACACGCCCCAGCATCCTGAGCGAACAGCACTGTATATAGGTCGCTGGGAGTATCTCGGTTGAGGGTGAGGTGTCCTACTTGCCTTGGAAAAATGGTAGGCACATTTTCTCGACCGGCCTTCAATTCGACTCGTCTGTTCGACAGTGTTCAGTTTTTTCCTTGACATTTCCTTGATTTTTCCTGTGTTCAAGCGGGCTTTAGTTCACTTACTGGTGGCCAACCGCCTTGAGATTACTCTACACAAATACGCTAGTTGTTATAGTTGATTTCGCTAGCTGGTTGGAGGATGAACCTAACGCCCCCGCTCAGCCATTTCGAGTGTCTACGATAGAATTTTGAAAAAAAAACTTAGGGAAAATTTTGGGAATTGGTATAGTTGGTAAGATTTCGAAAGATGGTAGGGGTTAGGACGGGTGGAAGTGGGCGTTGCTACTGGAAGAAAAATTGTTTTGAGAAAGGGGTCGTATTTTGCAAAAGCTTTGCCCAGCGCGGCGGACAGCCTCCGCCTTTTCCACCCTGTTCGAGAAGACGCGGTGCACCCATTTTCGGATTGTCAAAAAACTATTTCTGCCCCAATCATAATCTTAAGACCGATTGATCGCTTTATATCCGTAGTTGGTGCTTACGTGTGGTCTGCCCATGACGCTTGGTTGCCTCTAACGGTTCATCTTGTTGTTGGGGCACTCAAACTTTTCGATTCCTTGTCACACTACTTCCCGATTGTTGGTTCCTGCTTGAAGTAGCTACATTTTAGTTGTGTTGGAGTTGAGGATGTGTGAAATCTCTTTACAGGTCGAAATTGGGTGGTTATTCACTGAATGCTGTTCGACACGGTTCATAAGCGATCTCCGCCCACCTAGCTGGCGGTGCCGCCCATAGCTTAAGTACCACTAAGAGGACGGTTATATCTGTGTGCGGTTGACCCTCGCTGATTTTTTCACTTTCACACCGTTTATCTCCAATCTCTCGCCACGCTGGGCGATTCTCTTCGCTTTTCACATCTCGTGCTGTGCAGAGGTATCAACTGTGAGTGAAGGGCTCTATAGGGAGCACTTTCGACCAATGTTTTTTTTTGTCTGCTCTATCCTTCACAGGAAAATCCACTGATCTCTTCGATTTCACGTTTGGACCGCAGCACTCCCGATATGCAAGTGTTTTTGTGCACTCAAGCACGCTGGGAATGAGAAATGTGCAGAGGAATGCCGCTTACTCTCACTCTTTAAAGATTTAACCATTTGATTCGTGGCTGCATCCGATTTTTAAACGGTGTCAGCCTGTGCGAAAGATGATTCAACAAGTGGCACAGTTGCATGCAGAGTGATTTTTTCAGTAAATCAATCGATGAGTGAGTCATGATTTCGCAAAGTCCGCACACGTTTGGAAGTATGTACCCGTTGGGACACTGTGATTGGAATGAGGGCGAGCCAGCGTGTTGCCCGTTTTACTGCTAAAATGCTTGCGTTCAGGCATCCAATGCAGGTTTCCGCGCGAAAAAGAGCTAGTATTACTAGAGGGTTAACTCGACAAGACACTTTTCGTCAAATCCGTTGTGTTGTGACAGCCTACGTCTTGTGTCGTTTATTCGGCGGCTTTATCTCGATGTAAGATGACATTACACATCTGTGATTATTATGTGCTGGTCGGAGTCAATAGCTGGAATGTGCTGCGGGTGCGAGGGATTCGTGTCACGCTTTGCTGTGTTCTTGAAATTCGCGCAGAATTTTCCTGCTGCTGTCCATCCGGAAATACCACAGCTAGTTATGGCAAGATTCCGGTATACTGTAGCTCCAAGAATAACTTTCCGCAGCTTTTACCGTTGAAATAAATTCTCCCCATTGGATATCGCATCACTCACATTCCGTAGAAAACCGTTGCTTTTCTCCAGTTTGACTCTAGGGCTTTGCCTACAGGAGCAAAGTTCACTGCGATTAAAGCAACCTTAATGAAATGGGCCTTTGTTGAAAGAGATGTTTCCCAGCAAAGTCTGACTGGACCTTCAACTAAAAACAGGCGCAGTTCTTCTTGCTGTGGGCATTTTGCTTGTTCCCATTCATCACTGCCCATGCCTCTTGTGCAGACCTGCTACTACTCCAGTCGTCAGTAGCAGGAGGTACGTTTATACGTGAAAAGAGCCCACAGGTCCCATCAAGGTGAGTAGTGCAATTCAGCAGGATCTAGAAACAAAAACTAGCGAAAGTGCCAAGTACCCCTTGCCCCTAAGCCGAACAGAGCCCGAACAGTTTTCTTCTATTTTTCTCAGGGATGTCCAAAAAGATGTCCGTCGAACAGGCCCCTAAGGGCAGATCCATTCGGGTTCATTTGCGTTAGCGAGCTAGACATGCTGAGTTATTTCCCTCTTCTCTCTAGTATCATTTCCGCGCCGGCGCTCGCTGCTCTTTACACGTTCTTCTATTCATGCCATCTTTTGCCGAGCCCTTAGCCACAGGGGGTCCTTATTGTTGACATTTTTCCTCGCTATTCTGCCAACGTCCTGGCGTCAGCTCGTCAAAACTCCTTGAGGTCGAGACATTGGTATTAACTTCAATAAGTTTTGTAGTAACCTTGGAACTCCATTTCCTACTTTATCGAACGTTCTTATGACTTCCTGTATGCTGTCCAGTTGTCCATTGCTATCGTTTCCCTCCTGCTTTGCTTGGACGGGAGCAGCCTGCATGACCGTCCTCAAATCCTCTTTTCTGGAATGTACGATGGATATGACTGGTTAGGAGAAGTGATACTCACAGAAACCCAGAACTTGACGCACTATGTAGGAGCAAGTCAAGCTGAGAAAGGATTTGTCACTGCACTTTCCTATTGTGCAGTGCAACGTCCCTCCTGATAACCGCCTGCACCATGTGACCAGGAAGTTCACAGCGAATAAAAATCTTATCAGCGATATAGAGGTGAGGACAAGTACTTCAGATGACTACTACCTCACCTCCAGAAGTGCTGATTCACAAAGTAGTCCTATGCAAAGAGTGCTGTCCTCTCTAATACTGGTAATTGCTGTAATTGAATATTCGTTCGTTACCAGAAGAAAGAGAAATTCTATAATAGTAAGAACGCGTGCGAGAAAACGTGCCAACGTACAAAGGGTGGCTACTCTCAGCAATATGAGTCCTCCAAACGCTAAGCTATGTGCTCAGAGCTACGATAACGAGTCTAATTGGCGCCGTAGAGTGGCCAGTTGGGCTGAATCAGAAGGAAGCACTACGGGGCTATCGACGTCTTCATGACTCAGCCAACATTCATTAGTTTGCTCTACTGCTGTCACTCGTCTGTCTCATATTTACCCCCCCCCCCCGTCTCCTCCTCCTCGTATGTGATAACGCTCGTTAACCAACATCAACGGTCGGCTAGGCGGGCTTTGGCCTTCGTCGTTTCAATGTCGCACACATTGCCGTGTCGCCCCGCGTTCCCATAGACACGGTATTATTATGAACCACATGTGACTTAAATATTTGCTAGGTTACCGGTACACATAATTACCATCACTGAATTCCATCATGAATCTCGTGCAAGTCTCCTGTCAGCTTACCGTACCTCCCTTATCTCTATTAGACCTCCTATGTGTTTCAAAGTGCACCTTGTACAGTCAGCCATCATATGCATTGTCAAAGAGGGCGGAATATTGCTTTCTTGTATGAATCATCCTAAACCAACATTTTAAACGCCCTTTTAAAACCATATAGGCAGGCCGTTATATCATGTCGCTCGCTCTTAACCATTTCCGCACATATCATACTGTAATTCTTTGTTCTTCCACTTCCGACCAACTACCGTGTTCGTCTTTTCAGAATGGTAGCCGGTTGCGGTAACAAATGCGTCAAATACATCTTCTGGTTGATCAATTTCTTGTTCTTCGTGAGTTCACTTTCAGTTTCGGTTAACAAAAACTTCACGAGAAAAATTAGAAATTCTTGGTTGTGATTGGCGGCCTGTGCAACCCACCAATCACAGGTCCTCCATACATCAGGTCCACATTTTTACTGCAATGAGCACAATGGCTCGTAGCGTTACCTTCTTGCTGTACTGCCTACCAGAAATAGATAGGAAGCACCCGAAAACTGTAGCACTTAGCGCTAAATGGAGTGATTTTAGGCATTGGGAGCTGCGATCGTTGGACTTTCAGTATGGCTTCGATTTGACAGATCATTTCTCAGTAAGGCTGTAAGTACAGTCAAAATCGACACTAGCAACCTACCATTGGAAAGCGTGAGTTGCTTCTACCGGTACTATTGATGGAACCGCAAAAAGTTCTTTTCAGTTCTATTGGATACTCTACATAGCAATGGGTTTTGGCCTTGTTCTCCTAATTCTGGGATTCCTCGGTTGTTGTGGTAGTGCTTGCGAGGTTATATGTGCTATTGGACTGGTAAGTACACGTTCTAGTAGTAATACTAGTGTTGATTGTTGTTATTGTTTACTTCTTGGCCAAGTCCACGCGGTCCAAAAACCGCAACAGCAACCGATCAATTGACAATCAGATCAATCAAGTCAGATTCTAAGTACAGTAACTCTCCAAAAAAACAATGAAAGATGTGAAACGTATGAAATGGAGAGGTACTGAAAGGCAGAGGAAAGGCAGTTAGGATTCACGGAGCTGATTTACTGATTTACTCGGACGACCCTCCCAGTTCGCGTCTTCAGTGGCACCCCGCGTAAGTTCTAATCGAAAAAAGTGCCCCTCCCATCTAGCTTAGGGCAGGTGATAGGTTGAACGCTCAACGGCGACACAGTAAGGTGTAGGAATCTTATTCGGCCGAAAAATAGGAAGGGGGATGCCCTAATCTTGGCAAAAATGTTCCCGTGACTGTCGGTTTTTTTTCCTTTGACCCGTTTCACGCGCTTCGCTTACCTCCTAATGGGCGTTCAGCTCTACTATTTTCCCCATTGATGGTTGATCTGAGCCGGCCCCCGCTCTACGCATTTTGCGGTGGTCGCATTCTGAAAAATGTTGCGAAACACCAAGACGTGTCCTGTACCGAACATCTCTTGATCATCTCTTGAGAGTATATTGCTACTTCTGGTTGGAGGTCTACGACTGCTAGGGAAGTGCCCACCTCGATTTTAGCTGTACTTGTAAAACCTGAGGTCAGTTGGAACTGAGAAGCCTAGGTCCCTAATTTCATTACCTCAGTCTTATTACTGATAATCGATAGGGTTACAAACTCTCGGTGAAGCTGAATGGATACCAATTATCTTCTAAGGGAATCGGAAATACTAAATCAGTATGAATAGTCATTATTGGGCCTTCCCAGAATAGTACAACTCCGTTAGGCTTAGGTTTCATTTTTCGGCAGTAGCGCTTTTGGAGAAACATTGCAGTTTCAGAACAGTCGCAGCAACGGCTTCGTACAGTGAAAAAAAGGACAACACTCGTATCAAGTGAAAAATATAACGAGCAACGCGTCCCTCGCCATTTTCAAGTATTGCACGCAGCCACGCCCACCCCGTCGCTGGGATGTAAGCACTGTTCCGACTGATCGATAACTATATGATGGTCCACTGGGGTCGGGGAATAGTCTTCAGGAGTGTATAAGTAGGTTCTTGGGCTAATCAGTCCCAAAACTGTTGCAAGTTTTCAGGCCCGTGTAGAAGGCGAAGAAGCCAAAAGGCAACTTGAGTAAGCATGTTCTAGTCTTCGAGGGCTCAACAAAATCCATTTATACTTATAATAACTCATATCAAAAAAAAGTTGATGATGAAAAATTAAATCGTATTAGCCGACCACAAATGAGATTCAAGTTAGCAAGCACTCTAATGCTTTTGTGCCATCCTAAAAGAAGCAGAAAATGGAACCTTGTCAGGGGTTGCATTGGCATCTTGTGATTCTGAGGTCACTGCAAGAGAGAAACTGAAAAAGCAAGAAAAATTTCATCTACCCAGAGTACGAGCCTAATTCGTGGTAGTGGGTAGGGGTTGATATACATTTGACCTTTTTCTCAAGTCATTCTCACAGCTGATGACTTCAACGCAGCATCGATGATAAGAGAATAGACAACAACCATTTCAAATTCAATTTTGTTCAAATTCCGACAACAATAAAGATTTTGAAAAGGCCTTTCTGACTGCTAACGAAGCATGGTTGAACGGAAAATTACAGATATGAATTGAAGTTGACTAAGCTGCTAAACCACAACATGTATGCTTGAAATGAGATGTTAGAAATTTCTGGAATACCATGATGACACAGGAACATTCGCTACATAATGAAAAAAACATTTCCATTTTTGCCATCATTTTTGGTAGATTACTCATCGGAATAATGACGCAACCCTAAATGTTCTCGAAAATGTCATAAATTTTCAACATTCGTTTGACATTTTATAACATTCCACGTTTCCAACAAACCATGAGAAATTCCTGGATCGAAACAAAAAAGAGAGATTTATTGGGTAGTGACATTTTTGACATCCCCTGGTTACCACGTAGTTCCAGTTTTTTTGACTCATGAGTACCTTGCGCGTTCCACGTGAGTGGTCGGAGTGCTCGTTTTTTGGCACGTGGGCGGTCCTAGTACTCGTAATGCGGCTTAATGAATTTCCAGTGAACATTTCCAATGAAAAATACTGGTTTCTATAAACAATCTTCATTATTTAGAATGGCTGACTAGATCGAACGAATTCAAACAGGGTGAAATTACATGATAATTCTGCAAACATTTTTTTCTGGTCTCCTTTTCCATTGGCCCTTTTTATGCTTCTTTTTCATTTTTCAGTTCACTTGCGCAATTGTCTTTTTTTGCAAGTCAGGATAAGTCAAGCTCAGTGGCGTCCAAACAGGTGAGCCGTACAAGAACACGAGCCTGTCCGAAGTGGTAATAGTTAAGTTTACAGTCTTTGTTTGCCTTCGAAGCTGGGACATGTAATGCGAAGGCCTCGTGTTTAAGACGCTAACCCGCCTTCCACCAGTAAGCTGTCGCCTTTCCAATGGTGTTAGCAATTTTTCGTTAAGGCTGGGCTGGCAACCCTCATTTGGACGCGCAAGCCCAGTCTCCTGCCACACCCTAGCACCCGCAACAAACAACGCTGTACCTACAAATCCCCTGTTAGTCATGCTCTCAAATGTAGAACATCAGAATGATATATATATGTGTGTTATCACAAGAATGCTGAGTTGTGGGCAACAGTCGTGTCCGGCGGAGACGTTTTAAAACTTCCGCACCTCACGCTGACTGAATCCGGTGCGTTAAGTGCGCTATACCGTACGCTCCTGGGCATAGATTAACCAGAAAGAGGTCCAAAGAGGAATCAGGACTGATCATGCAGAGTTCAAAGTTATGAAGTTCGTAGATAAAAATGGCCAAAATCAGGAAAAAGTTGGGAAGAGTAAGTGAAAAAGCTCTAGATAAGGACCCAGAAATGCACGAGTTCTTGAACAAGCGAGACAGTTCTGCTCGCGAGGGAGACGAGTCAAAAGTGGCAAAATAGTCTTACGAGAGAGTCGACGTACACGACTCCATACATATGGGTGTCCTACACAGAAACGACCGATCTGTTATCTGTGCATATAGATGTAGAAACGGTGACACATCTAGAGCACAGGGAGGTGGAATAACTTCCATGGGCGGAGTTTCTTCTTTTAATTAGACCGTGGCGCGAATGTGTCGTTGACTACAGTCCTCATCATTGCGGACGGGTGGGGCGTGTCAGCCAGTATGGGTGTGCACACTGTTGAGAAGCACTTTCTCAGACGCTTTATTCGGTTTGAGACCGCCAATGCGACAAAAATGTAGAAGCGATTAATACGAAGGGTAGAATACAGTAATGTCACTTGCCCGCTTCAACAACTGGTACAGAACGAATTTGGCACCGCCCCAAACGCAGCCGCACCTACACGCCCCACCGAATACCGCATGATGAGGACTGTACACATCAATCCTTTGAGGCATAGAGAAGGGTGGATGCGTTATTTATTTGAACTCGGGGCAGAATGTGTTGACTGTAGGATATACCAGTTTGAATGTCCCACAAATACCCACCAATTGCGCAGCCGCCGCTATGTTTAATAGAGTATGCCGCCACGCCTACCGCGTCTCAAAGATCTGGAGTATAACGGGAGTTAGTGGAACATCCTGTCTCAAATTCCGACTTCACATGTGATTGGAATGCTTCAGACAGAAGAGCCGTCAAGCTCTGCGCGGTCACTTGACTCCTTACTTTGTACTTTTCTGGCTGAGCATTGTCATGAAATGCACGAGAGTTCATTTTACAACTGGACGTTTGGATAATGGCTTTCAAAATTCCCGAGTAGTGTCGTAAGTATGTTAAAATTCCTGATTGGAGGTTAAGTATAATTCATTTGCCGTTACACAATGGTACGTAAGTCCAAAATTCCCGATTACACGAAAAAAAGAAAAACTAATCATTTACAGTAATGCACCTGCTAAGCCGCTTATTTCAAGACATGAATTAATTTCCACCTAGCAACTTTGAGACTTTTTCTTCTCTACAAACCTCCAAGGGAAGTTAATTATGCGGAATTCGTGAAGTGAATTTGTGATACTAACGGAAAAAGTACAAAAAGGTGTTCCAGTAACTCTTCAGCTTCTTCTCTTTGCAACTCTGGCATGTTTTAGTTGTGGTTTTTCGCTCTTCTGTAGTTTTTTTGAGTGGAACTTCAATGGAACCTAAAGACCAGAATTCAGTTGAGAATTTGGTTGGCAATAACAAGTTCCAACCTGGCAACGCTCAGAAAGAAGTAAGACACTAAGAGTAATTCAATTCCATTCCTCTTACCGTTTGATTACATGACGTGGGTTCTGTTAGAAACTTGGTTATCTTACTCTGACCATAACATAAAGCAAGAAATAAGACACGACTATACAAACAAAGAATAATCCGTTTTACTAACCTCATTAGATAAACCCACGAAAATTGCGATCTCATTGGTACTAATTACAGCATTTTTACTACTAATGATCATTTCACCGTTCTTTACAATTAGAGACTTTCTCGAGGGGGAGACACCGAAAAAGGGTCTCTTCGCTCGCCTAAAGGAATTCCTCTTCCAGAGGATATTTCGCGGTTTGACGAAAAGTGCGAGCCCTCCAGTTCAGCAATGCTAGTCCCCCATACCTTTCTTTCTCTTCAGAAGCCGATTATTGACGGTGAGATCCCAAGGTGCTTGAACATGAACTTGGCTGTAAGGGTAGAATCATGAAAACCAAATCAGGGACCATAGCGACGTTGGGCGCTTATACACGTAGGGTGCATTCAAAGGACTACTTGTTGGCCTCGTCCGAATAGAATTAACTTGAAAATCGGTACACTCACACCGATACCCCTTTACCCTTTAGGTTCAGGTGAAACTGCTTAGCTCCATTGCGGATACTTTGTAGTCTTTACACGAAGGAAACGCTCTGAAGGCTTCCTCTGAAGCTTTTGACGCTGGATGGCTTGGTACCTGCATGGAAGAGCGCAGTCTCCAGAACCTAGTCGCAAATGAAGTAACCTTGGATACTGCGCAGCTGTTTGAGACTGCATCAAATACTGTAGAACGTCTGTCGATAAAGGGCAGATTCACCTGCTGGTGACAGTGGAAGCACTGAGGTGGGCTTGCTTGTGCTTATGGAAGACCATCTCGGGAATTCTTACCTAAGGTATCCATTATTTATCTCCCAGTGTGCCACATACTTTGATGGTAAGCGCAGTGAGCTGAATTGTGGTCTCTTTTTTGGCCCGTCGTTAGCATAAATAAATAATGTGTAGATTATAGTGTTGTGCTGCTCTTATCCTGTGTTTCAATAAAAAATACTCTCCTATATTAATACCCTAATAGAATTACGTAAAGGGTCATCAGCTGATGGATCACATGTGTCTCAAGCGGGGAAAATGTGAACTAGAAAAAGAATTTTCAATCATACTCGTCATACTCCATAAGCTTCTATGCACGAAGACTCCATATTAGGTACCTTACCCCTCACTAGGCCTGCCCATCAGAAGAGATCCTATGGGCAGGCCCGTTGCAGCACAGACTGAACCATTCGGCCTCTGGAAGGTTTTCGACCATCGCTCTCCTGCCGCTCGTTCGTCTGCATCCCCTCCCGTGTGATCAGTGTCCCGTCACCTTTCGCTTCTTCGCGTAGCCATCCACTGGTTGAACTTCAAAGCAGAATCAAGGCCATTTTGGGCACTTCTGACGTTTCACTCTGTTTTTTTTTTGCTTTAGTGGTAATTCGATAAGCACATCGAACCCGAGTAATGTGTTTACAATTTGTGGCTATTTTCGCAAATTTTCAGAATGCCGTTTTTCATAATATACCCAATTTGACCGTAGTTCAACGATTCTGTGAACAATAGAGAGCTGCTACCGTACAACTAAGATTTGTATGTGTTAAATAGTTAACAGCGTCTTTTTTGATGCGTGGAAGCCATGAATGATTTATATGACTACAATGACTCATCAATTTTGAATGAACCATAGATTTAAAGCCGGAAGTCTCATTGAGATGTACTGTAACTGGCTCCTTTTTCAATTTTTCAACTTTCCTTTTCAGTACTTCTTCTTCGTGCTCGTCATTTTCATCGCTGAAATTGTCGCCATCGTCCTTTACTTCGTTAACAAGAATTCGGTGAGTCAATTATTTGAGCAAAATTCAACAGAGAGCTGTGAATATTGGGATGGA